CAGAAACTTAAACCCGGAAATGTTTTTAAAATGGTTAGAATATTTTAATCAACATGTTAAACCAAATGAAAATGAAGACACCTTAGTTTTACTTATTATCGAGTCGTTTATTAATCAATTTGTATTGTTTTAAATATAACTAATATATACGGGAGTTATTGTTTAAACAATAAATTAAAGTTAGGTATTTTCCCTAGGTATTTTTCAGCTGGCTTTTAACCGTCAGACTTAAAAGATAAATGTGGTTCGTGCAGTATATTGTAAGGTAAATTACATTTGGAAACTAATCCGGACGGAAAGTAGGTCAACTAGGTTATCTAATGCTAAGTACTTATCAATCGGGTCCAACCTATTCGAAACTATTAAAAATAGCATAAAAATCAAAGACTACAGCGATGAGCACGTGAAATACGGTAAGTCGTTTAAATATTTTTATTTTGAGACAATGTCAATAGCTAAAGACAAGTCGAAGAAAATCAGAAACTTACCCTAATAGAACCATAATATTTTTAATTAGTGTTTTTAGTCTATACCTACTAATTACTACGCAGACACGCATTATGTAGGTACACTTGCAAAAAAATGTTGTTTTTATTTAAACCGCTAAAAAAATAAAAACTTAATGCGCGAATAACACATTTCTACACAATACTCTTATTATTTAGTATTATTATAAACTACCATTGACATCGGTATCTAATTCAATGTTTAAAATGTATCATTACTCATCAGTGAACAGTTCACTGAACTGTAATATTATTGAGTTTATATTGTACTTGGGCATATGGTATAAACACTGAACGGTTTTTTGTGAAATACACGTATAATACGCGTAGACACGCTTGATATATGATCGATCGAGGAATATTTGGCGTGAGCGACAAATTTCCGGAAAACAAATTTTTTGGCATTTAGCCATAAGTAATATAACGACACCATAGATTACATTGACTTTAGTTCCGATACGTTGAATACAATTTATTTTATCGACGTTTAAGTGTATTTCGTTAGTGACAAAAGTTGTTGATGCAGGTCATGGCAAAGTTGTAAATACTCGGGTCGTAAGCAACATTAAAGTGATACACAAGGGACATACTATACAATGGTAAATATTTGGCCATCTAACAGTCGATATATTGATAAAATACAATTAACGAATATTGTTAAATCTGGGTCATTATTTTTTTTAAGCGAATAATATTTAATTGTTCTCATTATTTTTTGAAGTTTCATAGTGTCTATGGTAAAAGGGTATTATTATTATTATTATTTTTTTTTTTATAATTGTTTAAGAAATAGTCGACAGTTAAATATTTTTTAAGACATTTTTTTCACAAGCGTTTTAAGTTCAAATTATTACAAAAACAATAAATACAATTTTAAGTAATTTTGTTGTTAAAATGTTATTGTGAAACTTTCAATTTCAATGTATCATTTAACCGAACGATTATTACCACAGCGTAAACAGAGATTAGTAAGCAGCTTCATTCCCCCTCAGAAAAAAATAAAAAAAAATAAATAAAGTGTTATTTCTTTTTTAATGTTGTATTTTACTTTTAAAACCACCTGTATGGCGTCAATACAATCGTTTAAAGATTAAGTTGGGGAACACAAAAACACGTCAGAAAACGGCAGTCACACACAGATGGCACCCCGAACGGTTGTAATAATATTATTATTTATTTATTTACAACAACCGTCCGCAGGCGGTAATTACGGGGACGGGACTAGAAACAAAGAGTATAATATTAATTCAGTGATGGTATAAATTTTCGGAACTGGATACGCGCGCGGACGGAAATCGATATCCTGCGGTGCTCGGGCGATCTCTCCGCGGACGATTTGACGCGATTTACCCGTAAACAGTACGTGCGATATTAATTCCGTCGGGGACGGGTCCATAAGTCGTCGCGGCCAACGTTTCTCGGCGACGGACCACGCGATCGTTCGTTTAACGATGCGTTCGTAGACAATCGCGTTCGGTCAATCGCGAGGGGTAATAAAAAAAAAATAAAAAAAAAAACGTCGTCGCGGTAGGTATACGCGCTGTTATTGGTACGCCGGGGGGATGGTAATAACACGGACCGAAATAAATGACGACAGCAACTGTGCTCTACGTAATACGGATAACGAACGCCACGCGGAATATTTTTCAACGCGTAACGGGTACGCAAGAAGAACGCCGCCGTACACAATATAATAACGACACTGCACACGCGTACCGCGTTTACGGTATCCGGTGACGATGTATAAAATATACACGCGCGACGAGCATACGATTATTATAACGCTTTAACATTATTTACATATATATATATACACGCACGTAGCGTACCGGCGTGATACGGTCGGGCGGCGTATATTATATTAATATTATTATCGTTATTACGCGTACGATATATATTGTAATAAAGTCGGGGACGCCGGGCGACGGGAAGTCGTAATCGTAACTTTTCTGAAAGAGCGCGCGCGAGACCGTAAACGCGAAAATAACACCCGAGGATTTAGCGGGCGCGCGCGGTTAAAACTTCGGCTCCGTCACGTCGGGGAGGGTTTCTCGGGCGGCGGCGGACCCCGTATTAAAATATTATTATTACCGGCGTTTTCGCCGGGGGTCTGGTGTGGGGGGGGGGTGGGCGGGGGTCCGCGCGCGCGCGCCACCCGCGCGACACATTCGGTCGTTTGAAATACGTCCGGAGAATATTAACCGACCCCGTCCGCGCGCGCGGTCACACGACCCACCCGCCGCCGCCGCCGCCGCCGTCCCCGAAACGTCCCGCCAGCCGCCGCCGCCGCCGCCGCCGACGCTCCCGCGCGCTGTTTTACGCGCGTGCGTTTGCGCGTAGGTGCGCCCGCCGCACGCGGCGCGCGGCCGCGGCTTCTAATTAAAACCGCTCGCAGATATCGTATATCAGACCGCCGAACCGCCGCATCCGCCCGCGCGTATCGCGCCCGGTGCGGTTTCCCGACCGCGCCGCGCGACACGGTCGCTCGGTAAAAACCGCGCTCGGTTCTCGCGCGCGTTCGCCGAACTCGTTCGCGCGCGTTTATACGGTAATTGTCCTTCCCCTTTGCGCGCCGCCGCCGCCGCCCCCCCCCCACCGTGACCGACATACCGCACCCGCGTACACTGTTATAACATCGCAACGACTGCTGTACAGCAGTCCTCAACGAACCGCGGTGCAAAAAACCGTTACATCCCGCGCGCGTTGCTCCGTCAGACAACATTTCCCCCGGCTGTCACACGCAGCTCACAACCCGACGGGACGCCGGATCGATATCGATAAACGTTATCGTCGTCGATTCCCGTCGCCCCGCGACTCGAGCCGTGCGTGTTTTACGGCGGACGTTACTACGCTATCAGCGCGGCCGTCCGTCGGAAACGTGATTTCCGTTCTGGACCCCCTTCGGATCAGATTCATCTGAGCGAAATTATTGTTAATGTGTCAATTGAACAGCTGTCCAAGCCTTTACTGTCTATCTTCTCTGTAGGCGCGTGCGGCCTAAAACCGAAAATTCGTTTTTGTTGTCACAGGTCGGTAGCGACAACGCCGTTCCCAGGGTACAGGACATTCGGACTGGACCGTTTTGGGTTGTAGAAAAACAAAAAATCGAGTCTGTGTAATAATTATTATAGAAAACGGTACTAAACATGTTGGCGATCGAACCGCGGATTGAGAGCCTGAAACCGGGCGATTGCTCTACCATTGAGCTAATCCAATACTTGAACTTTCAACGCTATTTTCAAAGGTGTTACGCGCTAACATTCTGTTGGGCTCTCCTGAATGTCACACGACGAACGACGCCTCGAAACGTCGTCACGCGTCGGAATCGGAGAACGGCGGTACGGTCAATATTAATTGGGCGTTCGGTAAATTACTGCATGGCGTCAACTGATAAAAACCTAATAAAATGTACGTTTTGAAATAAAAGCGATTTCATAAACACGCACAATTATTGTGGTGTAATCTTATATCATATACAATGAATGAAGTCATCTGAACACTTTTGTGATGTCAATCAAAATAGTAGGTATCAAAAATTTGGAATTTTTCGTTACTATATGCACGTTTCCGGAAAAAATTTTCAACTCGTCGTGAGGCCCGTTTTAATCAAAATAATTATAGGAGCGGTCGAGTTCACGCAGCCCTCCCAACATGATCCTATAGATTTAAAACCGGTACTAGAACCTTATAGTAGGTAAAACAAAAAACAATGAACTTATCTAAGTTTTAACTGTTATAAAATATACATTTTTACTATTTATCTATATCAATCAATAATTTATTAATTTATTATGTTATTAATAATATGTATCATTATAATTATTATAAAATAATCAAAATATAAACAATGATAGGGTTGAAGACGGGTTTGATGGCAATGAAGACATCACCACCACGGGAGTTAGGACTGGTACGAGGATTTCTATCGAGCCTGAACACAATAAACCCGTCAAAACCAAGCTCAGAATCGCCAATATCAGGCGTGAGCCAAGTTTCAGTAAGGATGAATTTGTCATAAGAGAGAAAAAGAGGAATACAACACCTAAGATTAACCAACTTAGTCCAAAGGCCCCGCAATTTTTGACATTACAAATATCGATAGACGTATTATTATTATTATTATAGTATATAATATGGAAGATGAACTGCAGGCGTGGGCGCATGGTTGGTTGGTGGGCGACGCTATAGCATAGTTTTTGAATGTAGAGCAACAGACTGATAATTCTTGAGATGAGAGCTAGAGAAGCGGCGCGACTTCAGAACTTGGGGGTCCCGTTGTTCGTTAAAGTAGGAAATGTTAAGGTCTTATTCACCAGCCAGAGTACGATGGTCAAGCTCACAATGGTAAGAATACAATTGTTCTCGTACTTACTTGGTCTTATCGTGGATAAGATCAACGCCACCGGGAATGTTCTGGTTGTTCCTTTTAGCAGCGCTAAAGGAAGAAAGAACTGCGGTTGTTTCAATTTTAGAGCCGAGACAAATTTTGAGCGGTCAGAGGCTCTTGGAAATGACTTTACTAAGGTACAGTACCTTTGTGTTAGGAAGAAGAGAAAGGGAGAGCTCAGCCAACAGGATCGAAATGAAGACTCTATCGTCAGCAGCAGCTGAAGAGGACTCAGAGATTCCGCGGGCGATAATATTAAAACTGCATCTTTCACGTTCGGATGTTTCATGAACAAACTGGCCCAATGTGGTGGAAGATGGCATCTTAGTAAACTTGGGTACTTTGATGTCCATTATGGTAGCCGTTTTCATCGTGTCTGGTGTTTTGTCGTCATATTTCGGTAATTCCTTATTTTGGTCGTCGGCCATCAAAGCACCCGAAGTCTCTGCAAACATGGGTACTTCGACCGCGTCCACTACGGCGGCCATTTTTGTCAAATCGGGAGTTTTTGTCAAATCCGGGTTTACAATGTTTCGGTTATCCGCCGTTAAAGCCCCCGCAGTCTCTACAAACTGGGAAACTTTCACGTTGTCGACTGAATTAACGGATGCGTCAATCATGCTGTACAGACGTGTACCAATCCACAAAACAACCATGCGAATGAATTGCAATATCACAATATTTAACAAACAATATGTTAAGTATACTTTTTCTCATCAAATGGAAAAAACCGAAAAAAAAACGTAGGAAAACGGGAAAATATACCAAATGTATTACCAAATGTATTACTAAAATATTACGATTTTTTATCTTGTGAATAATTTTTCTAGCAGAAATTTTGCTCCAATTTATAATGATAGCAATGTTTTTAAAAGAAAATAGGATTGGGTAAGTACTTTAGTCAGACAATTTTTTTGATTTTTTTAAAAGTTTTCTTATTAAATTTGAAAAACCGAAAAAACTGAAGAAAAACGGGAACATATCACCATATAATCGAAAAATAATGGATTTTATCATTCTCTTAAAATTTTTTGTTTGAAAAATTTTTCACAGATATTAGTTATGTTAAATATTAAGTTATATTTAATTGATTGCATTGTTCTTACTGAACGTTGGCTTAAAAATTGTATTACTATTTTTTAAATTAATGGTTTTAATAACTCTTATAAAACTAAAGAAAATAATTTTAATCAAAATAGTGGTATTGTAGTATTCATTAACAGTAAACATAAAGTAAATTATGTCAATGAAATTATCATGGACAATTATAATTGTTTGAGTTTAAGATTGTGTAGTAATGAGACATCTCGTAAAATTATCGCTATATATATAAAGGATATAATAATAAATGTATGAACTTTAACACTCAGTTAAGTGATTTAGTAAATAGTAAATCACGGCAAATAAAATATTAATAATTGGTGATAAAAACATAAATATATCGAAATTCAGTATGGATAAGTTAAAACTAGAGTATTTAAACCTTATGGCCCAAATGGGTTTTTATAGCTTCATAAACGATTTTACCAGGGTGAATATTGAAAGTCGTACAACGATTGATCATATTTTTATTAAATGTAAATGTATTGATATTATTATCCCTATTATACTCGAATCCTGTATTACTGACCATCATAGAATTATATTAATAGACTATGATTTTCTAAAATATAATAAGGAAAATACAAACACCAACAGGAATATTAATATTAAACTGTTAAGTGCGTTTTTAGTTGATGAAAATTGGAAAGATGTTTTGAACGAAAAAAATGTTTGTGCAAATAAATTTCATAACATTTTAAATAGATATGTAACAAACTTAATTAAGCTGAAGGGTAATATTATTGCATCGAGCAGACGCAAATTAAAACCACGGATAACAGCTGACTTAATAATACTCATTGAGAAAGAGATAAGCTAAGTAAAATGATAATAAAAAACCCAATGATGTACGTTTTTAAATTATTATAAAAAATATAAAAATAAATTATGTTCATTAATAAGATATGTAAAAAATGAATACAATAGATAAAGATTAGAGAATATTCATAGTGGCAATAACAATACCAAATAAGTATGGAGTATAATTGATGAAGTAATAAATAGGAAACATAAAAATAATATTACACTTATATGACTTGTTTAATGTAGGAATAGATGGTAACGTTTTAGCTTTTGCGGATGATACGATGCTGTTCTTTAAAGGAGATAGTTGGACTGAGGTCGAAAATAAAGCAATCCTAAGATTGGCAGCAGTAAATAAATGGTACGCTAAAAATAGTTTAATGCTAAATAATGAAAAATCAGTTTTTATTCATTTTGCCGTATCAAAATGTAACTCGCCGCAGCAGAAAGAAATTAAATTGCATAAAAGTAATTATAAAGAAAAAAATATAACAGGTTTATGTGATAAAAATTGTATGATTATATCTAGAATAAGTTCAAACAAATATTTAGGTGTAATTTTTGATGAGTACTTAAAATGGAAATGTCATAGAGAAATGTTTATTACTCGGATAAAGAAATATTTTTATATTTTTAAAGAGCTATATTCTCAATATTCCTAAAAGACTGTTTTGTTTTTATACCCTTCGTTACAAAGATCCTCACAAGAACCTAGTCGACAAGGTTCTAAATTAATAAATAATTTTGTAAAATTATCAACATACGATTGAAATGTTAACCATAATGTTTGATTTTGCACAAATATGACCCTCGTGGAATCGTTACTCAAGAGAAAAAAAATACTTTCACATATCATTGCGATATTGCACCAGGTACTAAAGATACTTACGTACCGTTGGATTTTAGGTAATTTTTAACGTTTTATCCGATATAGGGTTCAATAGGGTTCAAAAATAAAATACTACAATTTTAAACAATAATTTGTATTTTGGCGATCATTTTTTTAAGCATTTTTACCCGACAACAGAATCTTTCCCTTAAATTCAGTCAAGCGCCTCTCAACATATTTGGGCTATTTACGCCGCCTATGTATAAATTGTTTAATATCGATGCATCGTATCGTATGATGATAGATTTAAGATTAATTAATACCGCATCGTGCATAAAAAATACCCCAAAAATAAATATTGTATTATTTATAAATAATATAATACAATATATATTTAATATAAAATATAAAACAGCTGAGGAAATTAATCTCGATAATGTTCTCGAACTCGGTATATATTATATTACAGTTTGTTCGGGGGGGGGGAATATACTTTCGATTTGTCGAGTCATTCCCATGTTTGACTTCGTTACGCCGCGCGTACACGCGGGAAAATTTATCGAATTACCGTAAACTCACGTGTACCTATCGTATTATTATAATACAATATTTCGTATAGTATATTTGTATACACCATCATGCTATTACACGGCGACGGACCCTCGCGTTCAATTCGCGTATAATATTATACCGTGTACGCGCGGTACCCGTGTGTAGTGTATACTGCACACCAAAGCTGCGACGCGTAAAAGCACATAATATGAAAGCGACCAATTTGCCGAACGCCGAGATGAATATAATAAACGAACGTTCTCCCTCCGCGTCCTGCACAGCAGCCGCTCGTGGATTTCGTTCGGCACACCCACGTATAGGTAAATATATATATATATATTAAATACGTATGTATACACGACATGCGTTTTGAGTTTTTCACTACAAAAGGGGTCGTGCGAGAGCGCCCGATATTAATATAATATATTATAATAAACACACGCGCGCGGTTCGGTATAATAATAATAATAATAATAATAATAATACTGACGATGGTAACGGTACCTACGCGAAAGACGAGTACCTAGTTGTTTCTAAATGAATTGCCGTCGTCCGGATGACAAGGTAATTAGCGATTTAACCCGCTGCGAGCCTTTCAAAAGCACGCCTCTGTGTGTATACATATATCGCCTCGGGGGGGGGTGGAGAAGAAGACGGGCGACTAAAATCCGACGACGAGAGAGACCGAAAATATAATATTGGCTTCCGTTGAACTCGCAAATTAGACTCTCGTTTTTGTCATTCGATCCCGTCTTGTGTCACCGTGCGCACATAACGACGGCGGCGGCGGCTTGTGAGCGGCGAGGTAAATCTTTTGAAATTACCCGGGGTGGAGGGAAGACGCAGAGACAAATATTATAATATTATACTATCGGAATAATGAAAAACGAAGTTCCGTTATTATTTGTTGATTTTAGACGTACGTTACGCTACCAAAGTTATATTGAGATATTATGGGCGGGACTCGAAAAGTAAAAAAATCAAAAGCAGTAAGCATGGTAATTCTTCTAATAAACCCAAGCGGGCAAAGAGGAAAAGAAATCCAGAAAAATAGGCGGTTGGAGAATGATACGAGTAGAGTCAGTATATGCGAGGAGGCGGTGGGAGATTGGATCAATTGGAATTTGAAAATTGAAAGAAGGTTGTCTTAGTGGGGCTACACCTCTGAGAAAAGGCAGACCCTGAAGCGCGTCTGATAAGCAAAACTTAGGAGAGAAAAATCTCCGTAGTCCGTAGCCTAAGCACTTATACGCATAATACTAACAAATATGAGTTATTAATTTATGCGATGAAAATGTAGGTAATGAAATGCAAAACATTAATATAATCACATATTTTATTATTAAAGAATATGAAATAATATTCGATTCTGAGTGTAGGGAGGAAATATTAGTTTTTCTATGACGTGTGTTTTTATTTATTATTTTTCTGTCTATATACTACTCATTTACCAGAACTCTTGCTCCGGAAAAATGTAACGGCATACCTTTTTAGTTTCATTTTGGATCTAGTTGGTGCATTAGAGAAGTCGTCATTTGATTTCGCTTATCGTTTTCTAAATAACGGAGTAAACCGGGAAAAAATATTTAAAAAAATAAGGTAAAATAATAAAGACGGGTGCAGCCACTGGTGTAGGTGGGAAGATGGGAAGGTAGGATACAGACAGGAATTTAATGTATATCTGTAAGCAACGACAAACCATTGTATACGAAAAAACGATTCTGAGCAGAATTCAGTTGATGCTTTGTCAACAATATATATGCAATATTATAGTAAAATAATTAAATAGACTCTATATATTTTCTTTAATAATATTTGTTTAATGTTGTACCGTTTATCCAGGATTTTCTGAGTTTTTCCCGATTTTCCCGTGTTTTTTCTTAGTTGTTCGCAAATGATGAGAAATGTCTTAAGAAAATCAAAAAATGACATTTCTAACGTACCTCTCTAGTGAAATTTCCTTTAAGAAACATTAATATCGTTAAAAATTGCTAGTTGAAAAGTTGTGCTCAGAAAAAAAAAGGCCGTACTATATTTTAATAATACCTACTTTTCTCATATTTTCCGTTTTTTCGATTTTTAAAATTTGATGAGAAAATTCCTGATAATATTGAAAATTGACCTCCAAAAAGTACCACCCTATGCCTGAGAAAAATAAATTTATTAGGTGAATTCCACCCTCCCTCCCATAGTCAACTTTTATTACCTTTGAATACTGGATAACACAAAATAATAATTAATTCTATACATAGTTTTTAAATTAGTTTTCATAATTATATCAATTAGGTACCTCCAAAATACTCCAAAAAAGTAAAAGTAAACGTTTCTTTACAGTCTTCAATCGATGATCTTAGTCTATAATTAAATAACTTGAATAATATTGCAATCAAGTCAGTATATTTAGTAACATAGTCATAAAAGATAAGAACAAAATTGGCAGTGAAGTCAAAATGTATACCAACGATACCAATTTTAAATAATTATATATATACAGAGTATAACTCGTCCATTTGACATTATCGCATTTGTCAAATAGACAAGTTACATTCTGTAGATATATTTAAATACATAGTGTATAGATGATGGATAAAATGTTAAATTTTCAAATTTGAGCCTCCCCCAAAACAAATTTTTAATACAATTTTATTGTAATGCCACACAATGTACAAAATATAGGAAAGTACATTGTATTTTCATATTATTTCTTATTATTATTAGTTCATAAGTGTTATTAGTTTATTTTTTAAGACTATAATTGAAGACAAATAGAAAAAAAAAGGATTATTTACTTAATTGTATTAAGATTAATTATTATTATAATATACCCATTATAGAAGTGATATTAGATATATTTTTTTTAATTTGAATCAATCTTTTTCAATCTCTTTATTATGTTTATTTAAAAGTTATTATTAATCAAATTTTGTTCAGATAAAATAAATACAATTATATACAACAATTATTCATTGTTATTTACCTAGATATAAAATAAAATTAACATATAATTTTGAATACTCTGTGTATAAATTAATATTTTTTATAGTCTGGACCAGCGGTTCCCAACCCATAGGCCGCGGCCCACTTGTGGACCGCGAGCAGCATGGTACTGGGCCGCGAGCCATAGGTATAATATTAAATATTATATATTTTTTGTTATATTTCTAATCATAATAATATTTAATCAATTTTAACTATAGTGTACAGTAAGTGTGCAATTAACGATACGATATCGAATGTTTGAATGTAGTTCTATCTTATATAGTTCGTTGATTATTAGTAGGTTCTTGTTATCTGTCATTTTTATCGTATTTAACGTGCACGGCGTGCGGGTTGCGATAAATTTAATAGGTCTTTCGATTTCGTAAATTGGTAAACNCACGTAAATATGGATACTTGGTTTCGAACTGGATCTTGTCGTAAGACGAAGCTGTCAAATGATGAAGGAACTAGTAGTAGTGGAACTACTAGTAGTGAGATTGTTGATGTGTCAAGTTTGAATATAACAAAGAAAACTAAAATATATTTTCGTAAGTATAACCCTGACTTTTTAAAAATCGGGTTTGTATTTTTTGGTACTGAGGAGGAGCCTATGCCGCAGTGTGTGATTTGTTTCTAAACGCTATCCAACGAATGTATGAAATTTTCAAAACTTGAAAGGCATCTATCAACTAAACATCTTGAATATGTAGGAAAATCTCTCGATTTTTTTCAAATCAAGAAAAAAAATCTTTCTATGACTAAATCAGTCATGGAAAAATCTTCAAAACAAAACATAACAAGTACCCAAGTTTCTTATGAGCTTTCATTGTTAATCGCAAAGAAGGGGTTAGCTCACACTGTGGGAGAAGAACTTATTATTCCCACAGCAAAAATAATAAGTAATGTTTTGTTTGATGAAAAATGTACCAAAAAAATTAATGAAATTCCGTTATCGAATACGACTGTGAAAAGAAGAATTGTTGAAATGTCGGAAAATGTGAAAATAGCTATTATTACTGTCTTAAAACAAAGTGAATATTTTTCGCTGCAACTGGATGAAAGCACAGACGTTGCTGCCCAAGCTAATTTATTAGCTTTTGTTCGTTTTGAGTTGAATGGTAATATTGAAGAAGAAATGCTGTTTTGTCAGTCTTTGTCGACAAAAACAACTGGCGAAGAGATTTTTAAATCTGTTGATAGCTTTATAAAAGAAAACGAAGTAGATTGGTCAAAGTGTGTAGGTTTGACAATTGATGGGGCACGTGCTATGTCTGGAATTCATACTGGATTAATTGCCAGAGTTAGGTCAGTTGCTCCTTTAGTTCACTGGACACATTGTACATTGCATACATAGAGGCTCTTGCAGTTAAAGGTTTGGACGAGTGTCTCAAAAATACTCCTGATGATGCAGTTAAAATCGTCAAATTTATTAAAGCAAGGCCTAAAAACTCCAGACTGTTTGGTGTTTTGTGTGATGAAATGGGAAGTGAACACTAACAGCTTCTACTTCACTGTGAAGTTCGTTGGCTGTCAAGAGGTAAAGTGTTATCAAGATTGTTTGAGCTCCGTGATAAACTTAGGGTTTTCCTTNTGAAACGATTGGCGTATTTGGCGGATATTTTTGGTGCCCTCAACGTTCTTAATTTAACTCTGCAAGGCAAAGACATTCCTAAGTTTTTTGTGCAAGACAAAGTTGATGCAATGATAATCAAGCTTCAACGATGGGCTCTGGACATTTAATCTGGACATTTAATTTAATGAGCGATCTGATTGGTTAATGAATTTTGCTTTCGATCCCATCGTATATGTATTAGGTATATTTTGCAATAACAGTAGGTAACATCGTGATAAGATAAATATGGTATAAATTGTGATAACAGCGGGTGTGTTATATCCATGATAACAGTGTAGTAATTATGTCGGTGATAACAGTGTGGTATTAATGCCGAAAATAGGCATGGCCTAAATAGTCTATGAAGTGGTGGCCATGTATTAGGTATAGCAATTGATGCTCCTGCTCCTGCTCTTGTTCCTGTGGTAGAATTCCCGTTTTTATACTACTCCCTTGGGCCGAACTTTCTATTTCATCCTACCAGCATCCTTGTAAAAATCAACAATTCTTCTTTTTTTCTTCACAAAATCCTTGTAGTTTTGTAATTGCGTACCAGCTTCCATCACGTGTTGCTTCGAAAATCTAATAAATAAACAATTTTTATATGTTTAATAAAAAAAAATGTAATTCTATGTGAATTTATTACTTATATTACTAATCGGTATCTACAATTAAAAAACAAATATTTACATTAAAAATTGATTAGTTCTAAAAATATTTTTTATTGAGCCAGCATAAAAAATATGGTAGAATACTCCACTCTCTCCCCTTTTTTGAACAAAACTTATTTATGATATTTTTAATATTGATTGACATTTAACAACCAGATAGTTAATCGTAGGTTTACATCTAAGTTGACATTCGTTTTGGGGAAAAGGGGCATGCATGATTATTGCGAAAAGAAAATTTGTGTAGTTTGTGAATATATAATACTTTAGGTACATACGTTTTTTCCTGCATAATTGCTTTGGCTTTTTTCTAGGCATACGTAATTCGTCCGATCGTTTAAAGTTTTAACTTTGCGGACATCCGGAAATTTCGACACCGGACCGCAGTGGTTGGACCAAACATTCTTTCCGGCATTTTTCTCGTCGTTCACGCCTTGTTCCTTTAGAGCACCATCTGTGCCTGTCAGGCGTTCATTTTTGACATACGCCAACTTCGGCTGTCCGATGGTCATTTTAGTCGCAGTTTCCGTCAAAATGTTCTCATTGAACGCTTTACCACCGCTAGTTGTACTTCCGTCAGCCGTTTTATTCTTCGGTGTTGTTGTTAGTGTCTGTACATTCGATGTATGGTTTTTCTGCATGGACGTTGGTGTCCCTCCGTTGGCCGTCTCGTCTTCCAGTGTCGCTAACAGTATCTCTTCGGTGGCCGCCTCATTGTTTGTTGTTGCTGGCATCGTCTCCTCGGAGGTTTTATCGTCTTTCGCTATTGATATTGGTATCTCTTCATCCGACGTATGGTTTTTCTGCATGGACGTTGGTGTCCCTCCGTTGGCTATTTCGTCTTCCAGTGTAGCTAACAGTATCTCTTCGGTGGCCACCTCATCGTCTGGTGTTGCTGTAATTATCTCTGTGGCGGTTATCTCGTCTTTCGCTGTTTCTAATGGTATCTTTCCGTCGAACGTATCGTTTTTCTGTTGTTTCTCTACTTCTGGTTTTGCCGGTAGTGTCTCTTTACCACTGATACCGACAATACAGTCGCTTCCATTTACCGTAATCAAAGTCTCATCACTTTTACACACTTCATCGATCTGCACGACGTCACTCATCACAACTGACTTTACAGGCGGTTTCGGTGACACGGACTTCTGACCATCCGATTTTTTGACGTTCACTTTAGTATTTTCCGTCTTCGGATCGCTCGTCATGTTCATTTTTACTTTTTGCTTCCGGTCTACGGGCTCTGTTTCTTGCCGTACATTCGCCGCTGTGGGCTTTTCATCTGAATGATCGTTAATGATTTTTACAGGCAAGGTGTCAGGTGAGTGTTTCGTTAGTTTTTTGTTGGCCACTTTATTATTCGTTTTTGGCAATTTTTCGCTTTTCACAACTAACAAGGGATTTTTCAATTTATCGGGTAACTCATTACCATTCGTTATATTCCTAATCTGTAAATTATCCGCAGGTTTTTTGACATTCACTTTAGTATTTGCCGTCTTCGGATCGCTCGTCGTGTTCATTTTTACTTTTTGCTTCCGGTCTACGGGCTCTGTTTTTTGCCGTACATTCGCCGCTGTGGGCCTTCCATCTGAATGATCGTTAATGATTTTTACAGGCAAGGTGTCAGATGTGTGTTTCGTTAGTTGTTTGCTGGCCACTTTATTATTCGTTTTGGGCAATTTTTCGCTTTTCTCAACTAACAAAGGATTTTTCAACTTATCGGATAACTCATTACCATGCGGTATATTCCTAGTCTGTAAATTATCCGCAGGTTTTTTTATGTTTTCTTTCCGATTCGGTGATCTGCTTTTCTTAATTACGGAGCGTTTTCTGGGTAGACTCGATTTTTCTGAAGTTTCATTCAATAAACTCCCACCAGCCGTCGATTTCGCGCCTGTCAACTGTTTTTTAACCGGAACCGTATTCACGATCGGTTTTCTTTTTTCCGTATTATTTTTGTCCATAAGATTTGGTTTGTGACTTAAAATATTTTTCACGGTATTTGATGGCGGCGGTGGGATTGTAGGCCGGTGTTTATTCTCGACCCGTCGAATTTGTTGTTCTAGATTCCGTTCTTTCTCTGCTCTCAGATTTACGGACGCCATATGCTTTGAAACTTTTTCCCATCTTTTTTCAATAACATAATTTTTATGACAAAAATTTAAGTGGGGTTTTTTAACAACTTCGGCGAAATTGTTTTGCTGGTTTTCTTTTTTTTTGGCGTTTTTGATTTTTGGAAATATTATTCCATCGTTCACGCCAGTCAAAATCTCAGCTATACCGCTTGCAATGCCAATTTGAAAATCGTGCATTATAGTTTCGTTATTACTCGAACTAAATGTTTTATACTCATCTAGTAAACTTTTGGTTATTTCGTTAGTTTCTAGTGTGTTTTTTTTGCATAATGATTTCAAAATATTGTTTGCGATAACTTCAGAAACCCATACATTGAATTCAACGGTCCTGACGTATTCTTTACCCAAACGTCGATTTTCCCGAGTTCGGTGTTCGAATATAGTCACCAAATTACCAATTATTTTGTACGTCTTCTGTACATATATGTCAAAGTCTCTGAAATGATATGAATTTATAATATTATTGTAAATATAGGCGATTGTATAATATATTTTGAGACGTCCCGGTTCGGCCGGCCTTGTTTAGAGGACCGTCCCGAGCGTCCAGTTGACTACCCGTCTAGGAGCAAGGTCGCCAACCTAGAACCGAGGTTCGAAAACCAGAGTCCTAGTATTTTTGTAGATGTATCTAATACCGTGAATATAAGATTCATCGGGTAATATGGGAGAAAAGGGAAAATTATTTTAAGCTAAAATAAATAAATGCATGATTTTTCGGGGAGAATAATGAATTATTTATTAAGTTATAATCATTAAATAAAAATAAAGTTAAGTTGTTGTGATAGAAAATCCAACGACATAAAAACTATCAACCAAGAGAAAATAAACAAACAGTTACAATTTTAACTTGGGTACGTAGGTGTGTATACATAAAACTATAGATACATATAAACACCATATATTAAATATATATAGAGGGTGACTGGGGCGTCAAAACTTAAAACTTGTAGTCCGGACGCATGTATGGATATAATGGGAGCGTGCAGGCCGGGAATTCCGACTAGTTATTAATAATAATGAACTCACATACACGTGTGCGTAGATCGATACAAAAAATATTTAGAGACGGACCTCCACGTGGAATTTCGTGGACACAAAGTAAATATTTTTGGAGATCCCAGCAGTGATGTGATATTTGCCAGATCACACATATTACAACCGGTAAGGGTATCTTATGGGCAGAAAATATGCGAACCCGCATACAACGGGAGTGTTTTAGCAAAGAACACTGTATTAAGTAACCGTCTGACGACGAAGTCTCGAGACGAGATCAGACACAAAGTGAAAAATATGGACTAACAACGAACTAGGTAGCGGAGCGCCGAGACGTTCGTGACACGTCACAGCGGGCCGACGTTTTGTGCGATAAGGGGAAACCTGATTTGATTGGCCGTTAACCCGTAGTCAGAAATATAATATAACTGTAAATTACGAACGATTGCGATCACATAGACCTTTTCGCGAGGGGATTATTGATCACGATGACATAACATAAACGTCGCCGCGGGCGTAATATATTAACCGCTCGACTATATTGATTGTTGGAACGTTTGTCCTACGATAGCGGAAAATACTCGTTTTCGGACGTTAAAATGTATACTGTATGTATAGTTTGCTGAATGAATTTTCCGGAACTCGACCTACGGGAAAACCTAGCATTGCGTCTCGTAAACTATAATATTGATGGATTTTAATCGTTTAAGCTCATTTGAACATATCTAACCAAATCGAAACCAATATTTAAAAAATTATCCGTTCGTTAACTACGTCGACTGTCTCCCCGAAATTCAGTATTCAAGAAGGGTTAACAAGAAATCAGTGGCGCAACCAAGATTTATTTTCGGAGGAGGTTTTTATGAAATTGAAAAGAAAAATCAATTTCGGAATGTGTTTGGTGTGGGAAGGAGGGAATAAGATTTAATTAGGATTATTAGTAAAATCGTTAAATTGTTTAACTTTCATCCAATATGCATATTGGAAAACAATTGAGATTCATATTAATTATGTATTTAAAATATGTAATTAACTCATAAGTTCATGGTGGGAAATTGAAATCTTTGGTATGTTTTTTCGTAATAATTGAAAAAAAAAATATTAATTTTGAATTATTTTTCGTCTATTTTAGACATGAAAATTTTTTCTGATTATTTTAAAACTAATATCGCGTAAATGGTCGCCTTCAGAGTGAATGGTATAATGTGCTCATTTTTGGAATTTCCCATCACTTTTTAAAATATTTCCGGCTGAATAGTGGACATTTCCTGTCATATATTATCTTTCAATGCTTCTAGGGTCCATGGTTAGGTTCAGATTAAGTAAAATCTAGACTTTAAATAACCCTACAGGAAAAATTCTGGAGGCGTTAAGTCTGGTGATCGCGGAGGGCAATCGAAATAACTAATTTTTTGAAATTAAGGGTCCGCGGAACAAAAAATGCAATAAAGCGATCATGACTCGAGCTGTATGAGCTGTGACGCTGTCTTGTTGAAACCAATAGCCGTTCATGTCATTATCAGTCAGAAATGGAATCAAAATATCCATTATTATCATGACCTGATAATGCTTTCCATTAATGAATACGGCTACTTCAGGTTCTCCTTCGAAAAAGCCCAATGATTGTTTTTACAAAAATTCTGGCCCAAAAAGTCATGCATTGATTGTAAAATAGGTTGTTCGTGGATTAATTGAAGGTTTTCATTGGCGTAGAACCAACAATTTTGTTTATTTACGGTCCTATTCAACCTTAAACACTTCGAAAAATGATGAGAAGTGCCGAAAAACGAGTTATAATGTACTCGTAGAAAAGTTGGAAGTTGTGTGGTAGTAAATGGAAAAGAAAAATCTATCTTTTTGGATAGATTTACACAAATATTATAATATTCATACATAGACAAGTCTTATCTTACCTTGGACTAATAATTTATTAAACCTGTCAGTCGACACGTAATTATTATATACACGTACTTTTTTGGAGTCCCAGAAATTTTGAAATTTTTCTTTTGTAATTCTGCTAAGGCGGTTTTGGTCAGAAATTTCGTTTTCGTTGATAATTTGAATTGATTCATTATAACTCGTACTGTCGGTCCAAACGTTAAGGTAATACCGTGGTGTATCGACCGAGTGAAATAACTGCGTAATTTTGTTTATATTTTTTTGTTCACAATCTTCAATTTAAAGTGATGAAACACTATCGAGATGTTTTGTACTAAACAGCTATTGTAGTTACTCGGCAACGGTATACAGAAAATAAAAAAAACAGTTGTATCGGACAGGTTTAAAATAAATTTGAACTAGATTTTTCTGAAACATGGTTTAAGAGCAAAACATACGTTTTACAAGATAAGTTTAACACTTCAACCTAGTTTAATTAAACGACTGATCTTGTACCGATATATTTGGTTGATAATAATAAATGATGATAATAAAAATTAATTTTAAGTACTATATATTTCACTATCTTATTTTAAACACGCAGAACTACTTTATTGACAAGAGTTTTTGTCATTGCTCCCTCCTGAAATGATTTTAAGGATTTCACGTAGGTACTGTTAATTCTACATTTTATCAGTAGTGATAAATTGAGTTGTCGATTTTTTTTGAACATTCACTACTGACCATATTTTATTCAAGTTTTTGCAATCTCCTTTGTCTTTGTTCCGTGATCATATAAATAATATTTGACGGATCTGCAGGTCAACTTTCGGTACTACTAATACAATGCATTGATTAAATTTCTGCTCCAACAAAAAACGGCAATTGGCAATTTAGATCATTATGGCACTGATGTCTTACACTATTATTGCATACACTGTTACACTTGTTCTGCATAATTCATATTATGAATTCAAGGGATTCAAGGGAAATTCAAGAGATAAAAATTTAACCCGTGTAAAAAATCGTTATTCAAATTGGACATAGTGCAGTGAAGAATATTCGTACCGTATTTAACCATTAACTTATACACTGAACACATTTACTGTGCGAACATTACTATTCGGAAGAGGATCCTGAGTGTTCTGTAAACAGCAATCTAAATGTAGTTCCAATAAACCAACATCCGATATCCTTTTAAAATTGGAGAAATAACAACGATTTATTTAAGTGATAATAGACAGTGAATGAACTAAGATCAAGGGGGATACCGATTACAATGCATAATTTTTAATTATGGAAAATGACAAAAATTATGTTAACACAGTTTACTTAAATTACATATTTTTATCAAATATTCATCTGAAGTGAACGTCTCATCTACTGTAATAACTAATAAGTGATCAAATGACGATCATGCATTTATTAAATATTATAAACTGATCAATGAAACCTGTCTTCAAATATTTGAATATATTATGGCTATCAGTAGTACCTTTTCATAGTTTGTCCTACTTGGAAATCGGTGGCAATGGATTTTGTTTGACAATGTTTAGTAAGAACCTTTCGATTGTAATAGTTATTCATAATGCTCGGATATAAATATCAAAATATTTCATTAAATACCCAAAAAATAAATAAAAAAAATAAAATTGTATTGTTTAAATTACAGTAAAATAAAAATAACATCTAAAATATAACTATATTTACATTAAACTTTGTCAAATTAGTATTTTTAAATATTTATTAAAAAAAAAAAAACTAATCGGAAAAAATTACAATAATTGATTTTTTAAAAACATTTTACACTATAAGAACAGTGTGTATATAACAGAGTAGTCAATAAATAATTAAATTTCCAAAGAATAAATCAATTATGAATCGAGTTGTAGATTGAGAAGTTTATAATATTTTTATATAATGTATTTTCTAATAAAATTGTAAAAAGGTGTGGAAAGACATTGGTAAATCAACCACATCTTGAAATATATTTGAGAAAAATTGAACATTTTCCGCCTTCGCGCACGAATTGCTATTAAATGTAGCTACTCCATTAGTATTAAATGTTATAGTAGTTTCTTCTGTCGAAGGACTATTAATTCCGTTTCATTAAACGAAATTAAAACGTGTCCTTTTTTAAGTTTTTTTTTGGTGTTGTAAATATTTTTAAAACAGCCATTTGAGAAGTACACACTTTTGATCACATATTTTTCGACAAGTACTTCAACGTACGGATATTTTCCTTCATTTATTATTCTAACAGTATTTTAAGCGTAAATTTGTTTAAAACCATTTGTGTCCAAATTTCGCCAGTTCTTATTAAATAGTTTATTATCTTTTAATCACGCAACCGCGTGTGCTTTTTCTAACAAATGCATATGCTCCTCTTTAATGGAAATTGTTTTTGACAAATAATCAATTTTCCTTTTTCTTGTATTTATTTCTTCCAATTCTAGTTTTCCCGCAGATGTTACGTATACGAGAGAGGGTCTATTTGTTTTATTGTATACGGAAATAGTTTATTGTTCATGTTGGACCTTAGAATCTGGGGAATAACATTGTTAG